TGGGCAAAATTTATGGCCAAACATGAGTTTTGAAAATAAATCCCAAATTTATTTTGGCAAAACTCATGGCCAAACGGGGCCTAAGTTTCTCAATTCATTTTGAAATCTCTCCGGACCCGAACCGACTAACCCCATAAGTCACATAATAGCTATAAAGTACAAAATAACCAGTAAATGGGGAACATGGCTACAACTCTCAAAACGACCGCCCGATTTTTACACTATTAAATAAAGTCTCCTATGTGAATTTTCAGCGTTAAAAATAATCTTTGCAAGGAAAAGCCCAAATAAAAAAAACTGAAAAACAAAGAAAGGTAATAATTTTACCTTACCAACAGTAAATACTAATCTCATAGCATTGGAATATGAGCATTCAATTTTTCCTGATCCTCTCAATGTGTTTAGGCTTATATTCGTTTGTGTTAATTCTACCATCTCTTCACTCACTGAATGCAACTCTAATAGCCACTAATAATCTTCTAGGAAGAATGATTAAGTACTTGTAGCATGAAAAATGGTAATTAAATTGGAAAATGAACGAAAGAAGGAATTAAGCAGCAAAAACAATATAAAGAAATGTCATCAAATTTGTGTAAGTACTTCTGTCAAACGGTTAAGGAAAGCCAAAAGGTGCAACTAAAAAGAAATTAAAAGTAACCTATATGAAAAGACTGAAAAAATAAGAGAAAATCTAAAATGAAGAGAATGAAATGGAAATGACCAAAAAAAGGAAGTCAAAAGAAACATACTTTCAATGAAACAAAATGTATCTTCAAATATGTGTAACATTTCTCTTAAAAACTGTTACGGTGGACAAATTAAAAGGTGTAATTAATCGAATTAGAGGTGACCTTTGGTTTTTTGTATCATAGCACATAAATAAGAAAAAAAAACGTAGCTAATATAAGAATGAAGGGGAAATTAAAGTACTTCGTTGACACTCTAGCAGTGAATGCAAATGGGGCGGGGCGGGGCAGGGCGGGGCAGGGCAAAACCTTAATGGGGCAGGGCAGGGCAAAGTCTTAATGGGGCAGGGCAGGGCGGGGCGGGGCAAAACACATTTTCGGAAAATAGTAAATGGGGCAGGGCAGGGGTAGGGCACGATTTTAGCTCAAACTCACTTGTGTGTGCTTACTTCTCTTGCTATTTTAGCCTCAACAGATTTGGTGCCTCAAAATATTCTTGTCGTTTTGTTTTCTTTTTTAAATTAAAAACTTGTTTTGTTTGCTTGCTAACATTTGTTAACTAGTAGCATAATTGCAAATATAATAGTTTTATAAAATATCAAATTGTTTATTAACGATTCTACTTTATGCTAGCGAATAATGATAAAAATTTATACATTGGTTGGAGCAAGTAATTTACACTTGTAGTATAACTCGTGAATCTGTTGCTATAAAGAAAGTCTTACGGGATAGGAGATACAACAACAGAGAACTTCAGATTATGCGCACGCTTGATTATCCTAATATTGTTAAACTAAGACATTGCATAAAAAAAAATGATGGTGTGCTTATTATTGTAGTGAAACTAATAAACTGATGTTGTATTTTAAAAAAAATAGAGGAAATTAATGGAAGTGATGCTTCGTCATGCAATTTTACAGTTCACTAACTTAAGAAGAAGTATGATAACTAAAGGAAACTAACCGTTCCAGAAGTAATTTAAACTATTAGCTATTATTTGGAGTGGAACATTAATATAAGGAAAAATTTAGTCTTTGATAAATTATATAATATTAATAAAATATTTACATTTATTCAATCAATATGCACAAACAAGTTTTATTGACATATCAATTTTAAATATTTAAATAGAAAGTTGAAAAGGTAAAAGAAATTAAAAGCATACTGCAAAATAAAAAATAAAGAGAAAAAAATGAAAAAAAATAATCTAAACGGGGCAGGGCTTAATAGGGCGGGGCGGGACAGGGCAAAATTCTGACAAAAGGCTAAACGGGGCAGGGCAGGGCGGGTCAAAATTTTAACGGGTCAAGGCTTGCCCTGCCCCGCTCTACCCTGCCCCGCCCCATTTGCCATCCCTAAGTGAAAAGTAAGAATGTTTCTCTTGAAACTGTGAATTAAAGCATACAATTGGTTTATGTGAAAGCTTAAATAGTGGAAACAATGAAACTGTACATATTGTAACTTCAATTGGAAAGTTATAATACGTGAAGAAACTTTTGAATTCTTTCCTAAATAATAAAATAAATGGAAGAATAAAGAAAATAGCTAAATTTTAGGAAAAAAAGATAAATTACCTTCATGGTCATAGAATGTGCCATGTCACCTCTTCAAGTCCCTCAATATATATATATATATATATATATATATATATATATATATATATATATATATATATATATAATTGCGACTAACTACCTAATTAACTTATGCAAGTTATTACATGGTTGCCACACAAGAAGGAATAATAAACAAGTAACTAACTTCCATGTGTACTCCTTTCCGCTACTAGTTATTGCACTTGGTATCTCACAATACTTCCCCTCAAGCTGGATTGTGTAGTATGTTGAAAACCCCCAGCTTGCTAAGAACATGAGCGTAATGAACCTCCAAACCTTTGGTTAATAAGTCTGACATTTGATCCTTGGTATGCACATATATTGTTTTCAACATTCCATTTTGATCTTGTCCCTAATGAAGTGACAATCAATCTCTATGTGTTTTGTTCATTCATAAAAAATTGGATTAGCTGTAATTTGCATTGCAACCTTACTATCACTAAAAACATATATTAACTCTCATTTCTTTGAACAATCTAAGCAGCCAAATTATTTCTGCTACAGCTAAGCTCCTAGACAGTGTCTGTTGCTTCTTTGATTTTCATGAAATTAGAGACTCACCAAACTTCACGATGTATCATGTTACTGACCTCCTAGTGTTAGGACATGCAGCGGAGTTAAGACACACTAACAAGTCAGTTCCTGTGTAACTCCAGCCTTACCAAATTCCTTGCCCTGGTGAATTCTTCAAATACTTGACCAGTCTTGTTCCAGCTTCCCAGTGGGATATCTCTGGACTTTGGATGAACTGGCTCAAAGTCTGAACACCAAAGTTGATGTCTGGTCTAGTGATGGTAACCTATATCAGTTTCTCTACTAGCCTTTGATACAAACTAATGTCGTGTAGAATTTCATCTCCTATGTGACAAACTGCATTATCACACTCCACAGTTGTCAGCCTTGAGTTGGACTCCAATGGCGTATAGACTGGTTTTGCTCCTATTAATCACATGTCAAAAATTAGTTTAAGCACTTATTTTCTTTGATTCAGAGTTATTCCAGACTTGGATCTCAACACCTCAATGCCTAAGGAATAATTTAGTTCACCAAAATTCTTCATTTTGAATTTCTGATTCAAGAACTTCTTTGCTTCATTAATCAGTTGAGTGCTACTTCATGTGATAACCAAATCATACATATAAACTAAGACATTATCATGTCTTATCCCTTATTTAATATAAACAACGAATAATCATGACTGCTTTGCTTAAAATAAGCATCCAACAAGGCATCAGTGAACTAAATTTTCCATGCTTGGAAGCTTGTTTTAGGCCATATAAAGATTTGAGCAATTTGGAAACCATGTGCTCCGCCTGTCTTCTAAAACCATTTGACATCTCCATGTACATCTCCTCACACAAATCACCTTGTAGGAAGGTATTATACACATCTATTTGAAATAAATTCTAATATTTGGAGATTGCAATACCTATCATTGCCTTATTGTTACCATTTTGACAATATGTGAGAAAGTATCATGATAGTGTAGACCCTCGTTTTAGCTATATTACTTTGCTACAATCCTATCCTTTAACCTTTTAACTCGTTCATTTGCCTAATATTTAATCTTTTACACTCATTTTGATCCTACAACATTTTTCCCTTTTGCAGTTCTACCACCTCCCAAGTATTAGTATCCTCGAGTGCCTTGATCTCTTATTTCATTGCTTCTATCCACCATCCATATTTTGGTTGCTTCCTTAAAATGCTGAGGTTCTACAAGTGTAGAGAATTTTGCAAGATAACTTTGATAGGTTCCTAAGAACTGTGGAATCAGCTTGCCTGTTCCCATCTCACCCAGTTAACTTATGCAAGTTATTACATGGTTTCCACATAAGAAGGAATAATAAACAAGTAACTGATTTCCACGTGTACTCCTTTCCACTACTAGTTGTTGCACTTGGTATTTCACCATACTTCCCCTCAAGCTGGATTGTGTAGTATGTTGAGAACCCGGGCTTGCTAAGAAGATGAGCGTGATGCACCTCCAAATCTTTGGTTAATAAGTCTAACATTTGATCCTTGGTATGCACATATATTGTTTTCTACATTCCAGTTTTGATCTTGTCCCTAATGAAGTAACAATCAATCTCTATGTGTTTTGTTCATTCACAAAAAAATGGATTAGCTGTAATTTGCATTGTAGCCTTACTATCACTAAAAATATTCACTAGACTTCTTTGCTTCATTAATCAGCTCAGTGCTACTTCCTGTGATAACCAAATCATCCATATAGACTAAGACAATTATCATGTCTTATCCCTTTCGTAATATAAACAATGAATAATCATGACTGCTTTGCTTAAAAGCAACATCCAACAAGGCATCAGTCAACTTAATATTCCAGTGCTTGGAAGCTTGTTTTAGGCCATATAGAGTGTGCTCCCCCTGTCTTTTAAAACCATTTGACATCTCAATGTACATCTCCTCACACAAATCACCTTGTAGGAAGATATTATACACATCTATTTGAAATAAATTCTAATATTTGGAGATTGCAAGACCTATCACTAACCTTATTGTTACCATTTTTGACAATATGTGAGAAAGTATCATGATAGTCTAGACCCTCCTTTTAGCTATATTACTTTGCTAGAATCCTAGCCTTAAACATTTTAAATTGCTCATTTGCCTGATATTTAATATTTTACACTCAAATTGATGATCAGAAGGATGAGCAATACAAAAGTTCGTGGAGATGTTGAAGCAGATTCAGTTGAACATTACACTGATAGATGTCTTGCGAGAGATGCCAGGATATGCAAAAATTATGAAGAACTTGATATCTCACAAGTTCAACTTTCATAACTTGGTGACTGTGACATTGACTCAGACCTGTGGTGCTATTGTAACAAGACATGTAGCTAAGAAGTTATCAGACCCAGGTAGTTTCACAATTCCTTACACTATAGGTAGCTATACATTCGCTAAAGCATTGTGTGATTTGGGGGCGAGCATAAACTTGACGCCCTTGTCTATCGATAAAAAGTTAGGCCTTGGAAGAGACAGACTCACATATATGTTATTACAGCTAGCCGATCGAATGGTGAAGAGGCCATCGGGTATACTTCACGATGTACTTGTGCAGGTCGAAAAGTTTGTGTTTCCGATAGATTTTTGTCATTCTGGAATGCCAGGTTGATGAGGAGATTCCAATAATTTTTGGAAGGAAGTTCTTGTCCACAGAGAGAGCTCTGATTGATTGTGAAACTGGGAGTTAAAGATGAGACTAAATAATGAAGAAATAATATTTAATGTGCAAAAGTATGTGCCACGACTCAGTGAGTTTTGCCAATTGCTCTCTGATTGAAGCAGTGGATGTGATCATGGAACAGGAAGATGAGACACTTAATGCAAAAGATCCACTAGTAGCCTGCCTCATGAACTTTAAAGCGGTAGATAGTTAGGACTTGGTAGAGTGGATTTTGGCTCTTAAAGGCTAAAGGTACTGAAAAAGAGAGCTCGAATTCGATCCCTTACACATAAAAGAAAGAAAGACCCCTCCTGCTAAGCCATCAATCACAGAGCCACCACAATTGGAGCTGAAACTGGTACCATCTAACCTCAGGTATGCTTTCTTTGGACCTATTTCGACTTTACCTGTTATTATCTCATCTGTTTTGTTAAATGTGTAGGCAGAATAACTTTTGCAAATTTTGAAAGAGTGCAAGACTACAATTTATTGGACTATTGCAAACATAAATGATATTAGCCCGGCCTTCTGTTTGCATAAATTTCTTCTGAAAGATGGACACAAATCTTCCAAAGAACATCATAGAAGGCTGAACCCAAATATAAAAGAAGTGGTGAAAAAAGAGGTAATCAAGTGATTAGATTCGGGCATCATTTTCCCCATCTCAGACAATAACTTTGGTGAGCCCAATTCAATGTGTTTCAAAGAAAGGTGGAATGACTCTGGTGCAAAACGAGAACAATGAGTTTGTGTCAATAAGAATAGTCACAATATGGCGAATCTATATGGACTACAGAAGATCGAACAAGGCCACCCGAAAAGACCATTTTCCTTTGCCATTCATTGATCAGATGTTTGATAGATTAGCAGAGAGGTCCCACTTTTGCTTCTTGGATGGATACTCGGGGTATAACTAGATCTATACTGCCCCGGAGGATAGAGAGAAAATGTCGTTCATTTGTCGATAAGGAATCCATGCTTTCCGGAGAATGTCATTTGGCCTATGCAATGCACCTACCATATTCCAAAGGTGCATGATGGCCATCTTTACTGAGATAGTAGAGTATACAATGGAGGTTTACATGGATGATTTTGCAGTGGTGGCAAACTCGCTCGATGACTGCCTTGTAAATCTGAGAAGAGTGCTGAAGAGGTGTATGGAGATTAATCTGGTGCCAAATTGGGAAAAGTGCCATTTTATGGTACAAGAAGGTATAGTCTTGGGACACCTAGTGTCAAGTAAGGGCATTGAAGTGGACTGTTCTAAAGTTGATGTGATAGAGAAGTTGCCACTGCCCACTTCTACCAAAGCAATAAGAAGTTTCCTTGGTCATGCCGGTTTCTATAGGCGATTTATAAAAGGTTTTTCCAAAATCGCTAACCCCTTGCGTAAATTTTTTGAAAGAGATCACATATTTGTGTTTTCTGATGATTGCAAGGTAGCTTTTGAGGAGTTGAAGAAGAGGCTAGTGACTGCACCAATCATAATTGTACTAGACTGGGAGGCAACCTTTTGAGCTGATGTTTGATGCAAGCGACTATGTTGTGGGAGTAGTTCTTGGGTAGCAAAAAGATAAAGTCATGCATCTAATCTACTATGCAAGTAGAACCTTGAGTGGCACCCAACTAAACTACAAAGTGACCGAGAAGGATATGCTAGCAGTGGTGTTCGCATTTGACAAATTTAGGTCATACCTGATGGGCTCAAAGGTAATTATTTATACTGATACATGTTGATATCATGTACATAATTGAGAAGAAGGAGTCAAAGTCTCTTCTGATTTGCTGGGTGTTACTACTGCAAGAATTTGATTTGAAAATCTGTGATCGAAAGGGAACAAAGAACCAAGTGGCTGATCATCTTTGAAGGCTTGAAGGAATAGAGAACCAAGTGGTTGATCACCTATCCAGGTTTGAAGGAGCCTAAAAGAAGGTTGAGATAGAAAAGATTGTGGAGACTTTTCCAGATGATCTCTTAGTGACAAGCCTCGAGGTGGTGCCATGGTATGCAAATATTTCAAACTATCTGGTGAGCGGTATTTTTCCCTATGACTTGTCCTCTGTGCAAAAGAAAAAGTTCTTTCGTCATTGTTGCATATATTCTTGGGATGAGCCTTATTTGTTCAGGATTTGTTTGATAACATTAACCGGAGGTGTATCCCCAATATATATCAGTCTTCTATTTTGCAGGATTATCACACTTCACCATATGGTGGCCATTTTGGAGGGATAAGGACTGCTGCTAAGGTGTTAGAGTCGCGCTTGTACTGGTCGACTTTGTTCTAGGATGCATACTTCTAGATAAAGGCTGTGATGAATGTCAACATACTGAGAATATTTTTCGTCAACATGAGATGGCCATGAACACAAATTAGGAGGTGGAAGTGTTCGATGTATGGAGGAATCAATTTCATGGGACCTTTTGTCAGCTCATATGGCAGCAAATACTTACTGGTAGCTATGGACTATTTGTCAAAATGGGTGGAAGCTGTGTCACTCCCTACAAATGAAGCAAAGGGAGTCATTAGTTTTTTGAGAAAGAACATCTTCACCCAGTTTGGCACATCAAGGGCAATAATCAGTGATAGGCACCAACTTTTGCAACCGAGCCTTCACAAATTAATTAGATAAATATGGTGTTTTCCACAAGGTGGCCACTCCATATCACCCACAAACAAGCGGGCAAGTGGAGGTGTCATAGAGAAATAAAAAGTGTTTTGACAAATACCGTGAATGCTATAAGAACAGACTAGGCGAGAAAGTTAGATGATACACTCTAGGCTTATTGCACCGCTGTCAAAACTCTGATTGGTATGTCGCCTTATAAAGTGGTGTTTGGGAAGGTATGTTAATTATCCATAGAGTTGGAGCATAGACCTTTGTGGGTATTGAGGCAATTGAATCTCGATATGGAAGCTGCGGGTACAAATAGAGTCACAGATTTGCAGAAGCTCGATGAGTTCCTCTACCATGCTGTTGAGAGCATAAGTCTATACAAGGAGAGGATGAAAATGATCCATGACAATAATAATCAAAATTTTAAACCTTGAGATTTGTTATTGTTGTACAATTCTAGACTGAAATTGTTTCCGGGCAAGTTGAAGTCAAGATGGTCAGGATCATTTCTTGTTCTAGAGATACATCTTACAGGAGTAATTGCAATTGAGTCGGAAGATGGAGCATGCAAGTTCACAGTCAAATGGTAAAGGTTGAAACATTACCTTGGCATGCGCAATGAGGAAAAAGTCATATCGGTTATATATTTGAGTGAACCCCATGTGTTGAATGAACCATGATCGTGAGTAACCGCGCCGTGTCGCGACATTAAATCAATCATTTGTTGGGAGGCAACCCAATTTTTATTACTTTTGGTAAGTTTTTAGTTTTTTTAGTTAGAGTAGTGTTTTAACAATTTTGTGCAGTTGTTTGTGTCATGTAATTGCAGGTAGGTATTAGAACACGTATTTCAATGTGATGAACAATGGCTCGGGATTAACAGCGTAACCTGAATTAAAAAATAATTAGAGTTCCGCGCTCAATTGGGCGCAAGGCACAGAACAAAACGCTAATGACCAAACAGGTAAGGAGCATATCGGTCAAAGGCGTCCCAAACGGCGCCTGACGCTAATCAAAATGCCCATGTAAGTTTTTTTTATTTCTTTTTTCCCTTAACCCGCGACCCGACCAAACCCCGTCCCTCTCACCTCCCGACCCGTTTACCCAACTAAAATAAAATACCCCACCATATAAACCCAACCCAACAGGACCCATCTCTCTATTTTATAAACCAGCATACCCTAAGTACTAAAACACTCAAAACAAACACAAAACAAAACAAAAAAAAATCCTTCCGCCCTAGCTCTCTCTCTCTCTCCCAATGAATTCCCCATGCCCAGCTCTCTCTCTCTCACCCGTCTTTCTCTCTCTCACGCTCTCTCGCTTACTTCTGCCCAGATAAGTCTTTTTTTACTTTGCTTAATTATCTCCCTTTCTCTCTTCCTAATCCCTTTGTTGTCTCACCCCACTAACCCCCTTCCCCATTTTGATTTTCCCTTCCCTATATTCCCCATGGTTTGATGAGACTACATAACTTGGTTGACAAATTGTGTGTAAGAATTGGGGTGAAATTATCGTGTTTGATGATTTCACCCGAGGTAAAAAACTAAAAGCCCCATCACCTTGTTGAATTTGGGAGGGTATGGATCTTTCCCGGTTGTTTGAAAAGCTTGAATGAAATTGTGGCACACCATGTGTTCGACAAAATGCTTGACTGACAATTTTCGATTGCCAGTGAAGTCTGAGTAGCCGAGCTTTGTTTGTTTATGCTAAGACATAAGTTTGGGGTGTTAGGGAGTGCTTCCGAACACCACCATGGTTGTGTTGCGCACTCCACATGAATGTCATGACCTGCATGATGCAGCACGAATGTCGCGCGTGCGCGTGCACGAGTCGTTCACGAGGGTTGTATGTGATTGTCTATATGCTTGCAATTGTAGTGTATTGTATTCTTTTTTTACTTTTTACGTTTTTCATAGAGTCTTGGTGTATAATAATTACTTGTGTAGTTATTCGGGGCCAAGAATGCTATGACCGAATTGTTTTAAAGCCCCGAGTATAGAGAGATGCATTGTCTTATATGTGATCATGCTATATGCTACGTGCGGACATTGTTGGTTGCTAAGGGGAAGTCTTGAGTACTTGAAGCATTGTTTGAATCTTAAGTGTGGGATCATCCCAATCCTACCTTTTGTCTATAAAGAGTATTTGAAGTTCTATCTAATTAGGCATTCATTGTTTACAGGTTTCGGTACTAGTGGCTCGTGAAAGTTTGAACAAGGAAAAGGCAACTGCAAAGCCTTATGCTATTGCCCCATCCACAAAGAAGCGCAAAGAAAGTGAGGTTGCTTCAAGCAAATCGGGAAAAGGAAAGCAAGTGGCTGAGCCTTCTAAGAGGCAGCCTTGTGTGACTCATCTAGCCCTCCAAGTAGATAAAGAGGATGCAAAAATATGGTACCACTCTTTTTGTAC